GTAGCTTCCTTAATCAGTGCTGTGTTTTTGTTTAGCAAGTCATTCTTCAATTTAAAACAAAAGAGTGCCTCTCCCACACCACCCCACCCCACTCCGAAAAAACAGCAACAACAACAACAATTTAACAAGAGCAAGTCGCATACTACGAAAGTAGACCCGGTTGCAATAGTTTCGTCTCATGTTTCAGTTGATGTATGTTTAGTTTATACCTTATTTGGTTTTGTAAGGTAAAGAAACACGAGCCCTTATTCAATAACTTGCAATTTTATGTCTCCGGATGAGAACATAGACTGCAACCAAATTACAACTAAAAAAATATACAGTCCTAACTACGTCTTAAGTGATTTATTCGCGGAACAACTTCACTGAGGTTCCAGGCACTCGATGAAAATTTTGCAATATTGCACACGACGATGCGGGTTTGCATGTTAAAAGAAAAATTTCTTGTATTATACTACTGCGTGAGAAATTTCTGCAATTTGGTTGGCTTAGAGCAGTGGTATTTGAAATACCTATACATGTGAAAATTACAAACCCTTTGCCGGTAGTAGTATAAACAAATAATAGCATGATTTGTACGTAATATTTGGCATAAATACCACTTGTGATATTGAAATTGTCTCAAATTTCGCTCGCCTAACGGCTCGTGAATTTACGTTTAACAATTTTGAAATTTCACTCGTGGTATTTAAGCCAAATATCACTACAAATGATGCTATTACCTATACCAGCATCAGTATTATATAATCTTATTAGTGAATACCTGTTGTATGTGTGTATAGCATTCATCTGTAGCATTACAACAAAAGGATTCAGCCATATTAATATTGCTGAAATCCACATCAGCAAAGTGAACCTCTTTTCGCTGTACTCAATGGAAAGAACTTCTGTTTTATAAACCCTCCACTTAACACCATAAGCATAGAGATAGACAATCAAAGCCATTGATGCTTTGTCTCTTAGAGGAGCTGTGCCCATCCACAGGAGAATACTGAGAACGATGATCAAAGCATTAAGCCACAGAGGTGTCACCACTATATATTCCTCAATAAACCATGGGAGAAACACCATTGCAAAAGTAAACCCTGACAGATTATAAAGAACGTTAGCGAACGGTTTTAGCAATGGCCCAGCTACTTTGTTCACCACATAGAAGAGGAGAAATAAAAGAAAAAGAATTGCGAATGTGATGAAAGTGATGTATACATCAGGACCAAATGTGGGAACACATTCTACTTGATTGGTCATGTTGGAAAGAGCAGCGACGTTGGTGTTATCGGCAATCTCCGATGAGGAAAAGTTTTTCGTCTTCTCATCAGGACAAGTAAATGGTTTTCGCATAATATCACCAAAAAAGTAATCGATGATATAAGCTGTTGGAAAAGTCAACCCTGACCAGTTAACGCAAGATAGTACTACAGAAACAAATAGAATAACAGTAAGGAGAATAAAAGTATCAAAAATTCCTTTTAAAGGATTGCGCCAGTTACAGAAAAGGCCAATGTTCGTCTTCATGTTATCGAAGAACTCTTTATGCCATCCAGGATCATCTTTCTGTTCATTGCGATACTTCCAGTCTAGGTAGGCGGTGCCTGTGTAACCTCCTCCTGAGACACAGCTGAGGTAATCTGGGGTGATCTTCTTATGTAGCAGTCTGCGTAGAACGCCAGAACTCAGTGCCGCTGACCGAACGCCGCCACCGGAAAATGCTAATCCAGTTTTATTCATTTCCTTAGGGAACTGGCCGATGAATGTCTCTGCAAAAAAATGGTTTTGGGTATTCGTTATCACCACGCATTAAACAGAAATTAGCTGTACTACCAACTTTCAGAGCAAAATATTTTGAAGAGCGAAATTGAGCCACCACAAAGGCGGGAGAAACTTGCATGCGAACACACATGTATTTTAAATCGTAGCCTCCTTGGTTTTACAGGTGAGTATAAAACCTTGAAAAAAAGACCCAGATTTTAGACTTAACTCGATTTTTTAAAATATATCTTGGGCTCGATTGCAATAGTATTTACTAACAACGAACGGCGATCAACCTAAAATTCTCACATAGCCTACGTAGCAAGCGTTTCCGCGCGAGCACGTCAAGAAAGTCCAACTTTCGCGCAATGACTCGATCAGAAACGCTTGCTACACAGGCTATAATTCTCACACCGCCTCCTGCAATCTTTCCTCATAATCAGTTTAACTTCATGTGCTTTTGTAAAAGCACTAATAAACCTCTCTGTATTATAGAGAGAAGAATTTGGTGACAGTTTTTTGTCAGATAAGTCAAGAAAAAAAAAGTAAAAGAAAACATGTGACAATTACCTTCAGATTATTCTGGCTCCTTGTTGTTTACTGACACAATTTAGTATTATTTCCTTCAGACGGATCATTAATTATTTTTTCAGTAATTCATATTTTGAAATATCTTTTAATTGTGTGATGGTCTTTTGACCAGTTTTCCACCTGTTGTTCTGTTTGCTTGAATCAGCTTCCCCTCACCCCCTCAACGATGGAATATTTTTGGAAAATATGAGATTCTTCAATATCGATTTACGTATATTTTGTTACACGTTTTTACCGAAGCTTAGATTTATTTTCATTTATTTTCATTGAACACTGCTGTTACTTCCATTCCTTTTTTGTAATTTAACGAAAACATAGTTCTCAGTTAAGGAGCAACGCTAAACCATTATGTATTTCATACCCCACGTAACCATAACCTCGTCGCTAAGCTCGTAACTTAAGTTTAACAAAAATTTCCTCCGAATACTAGTCATGAGACTAGTTTCAACAGAATTCTGCCCCTATGTTTTGTTCGACTTTGTGTTGTACAAATTGAACAATCATATTTTTGTGGCAATTTATGCGAGCGCCTTTCAGACGTTTTAGCTCAGGCCACGAAACAATCATGAATTGGCCTTTCTATCCGATCCTTTCGTAATGGGTCAGTAATTAACGCGCACTAACCATCGATGAAGAGACCTCCTTAACCTGAATAACCAGACGATAACTATTTACTGGTTTATACTATACTTATGTGCACAGGGACATAACAGTAAAGCTAGTCTAGTCTTAGAATAACGAGTTGAGGAGCTTGTAAAAAAAGCATTCCAAAAGTAAACAAGCCAAGTATCTGGTACAAATTCGTTCCTCCCACGATTCGGCTGCGATACTGAAACGAACGAGACGAAAACGACCGATTTATAAGAATTACTGTTGAAAATAAAAAAAAAAAAAATGAAAAGATATTTAGGCACGAGTTTAAATCAAATGCAAAACAAGACCGTTTCATCGAACAGTCTTCCCTAATTTAAACTAGGGATACCTTCCGGCAAGCGCCAACGATGCGAATTCGTTCCTTTTTTGTGGGATGTGCATGTTGATTCTTCGCGATCTGTTACACAATGTCAGAGGTTTAAAACAGATTTCGCTGTACAAAAAGATAAATTTCACCCCAGTTTGAATCAACTACTTCGGCACATTCTAGGCTTTCACCTTTATTAAACAATAACAGCATGGCGTGAAGCTTTGTTTGTAAATTGGAGCAAGTTATCACTTATGTTTCATGGAAAATTCCATTGTATCAAAACTGTAAACGTTAGAAATTAAAATGTTGTTCGAGTAAGGCCTTTATACGGTGTCCCATATCTGCAAACACAACATACAGTTCTTGAAACACAACAATATATTCCTGGAACACAACAAACACTTTTCCAAACACAACACGCTATTATCTAAATATACAACAATTAACGCCGTTTACCGAAACACAACACATTACTATCCAGACACAACACAATATTTGCAAAACACAACACATTTTCCCACAGCACAAAACAATATTTGCGAAACACAAAACAAAATTCTCCCTATTACGTAATGCAGGCCTTTGTTAATATATAAAGCACAAACCCATCATTACTAAACCAATGACATGTTATTCGCCTTGCATTGTTCGCAAACTCCCGCCATATATGGATAACAAAGAAATGCGGGAGTTTGCAATTAAATGTCAAGTTTAATTATGCCTTGTACCGTGTGGCACGAAATTTTTGCGGGAGTTTATTTTTGCGGATTGGCGATTTTTTGTGTTTTGCGGGAACTAATTTTTGCGATTAGGACAGATTGGTTTTTCTTGCTGGGAATTAATTTTTGCGACTTTCAGACAGTATCCAGTACCCAGTTTTGAGAATATTTTCGTTTTTATTGAGTACGTGCAATAAACCAGTATTTCGTTTGTTTCTGAATGAAAGAGACAAGTTGTGATTGAACAGACAAGATTTCTATTTTTTTGTGTAGCAAATTTAAGTTAGAGAATATTTACTCTGAAGTAAATTTTTTCGGAAAAAATGTTTGCGGTAATTTTTATTTGAGGGAACTTATATTCGCGGATCGCTGGCAAAATCGCAAAAATCGCAAAAACGATGCATTCCTTACGGGAGTTTAGAGCTGTTTCAATGTAAATCGAGCTGCAAAGAACACGCTGGCTGCATGACAAAAATCTCTCGAAAGGCATAAAGATTGTCAACCTAAAACAAAAGTTCTGCAAATGCGCTGCATTCCTCACGGCAGGTGAGGACTGGCTCAATGTAAATCGACTGCGAAGGACACGCTGGTTCCGATAAAACTTTGAGTCAGGGAGTGATGACCATTTAATATTCTTTGATCAGCTACCGCTTAAAATTCAATTTACAAAGGAAAAGAGAACAAAAATTTGAGCGTACAACCCCATTCCCTGATCAGTTCCGCTTTGAACGAAATTTATAAAGCAAAACAGAGCACTAATGGCCCTTTCAAACAAGAAATCATATTAAAGTCTGCTCACCTGTTAGCTCCTCTGGAACAGATGACGATTAGACGATCAGACGATTAGTTACAGGGTCAGTAAAAGGTCTCTGAGTCACGGTACAAAATGCAGAATGCAGACTGCTGAAGACCATCGTTTTCACAATGCAAGTAAGGACCCCTTCTAACCCTGAAAACAACGGTCTGTGGTCTGCATTCTGTACTGTCCAATTGGCTACACACTGGAAGGGGTGCCGAATGGTACCTCGAAAAATGTGGGTCTCGGAAAATTTGGCAGGATCTCGAAATCTCGGAAGCGTTTTTGATAAGTCTCGAAGTCTCGTTTTTTCATGGTTTGTTTTTGACTTTTTTGAGTCTCGAAAATTTTCACCAAAGTCTCGGGCTCGGATTTCTAACTAGGATCTCGGCGTCTCGGGGAGTCTCGGATTTTACCATTCGCCACCCCTACTGGATCCACGACTTGTAAATACAAGACCATGCTGTCATTGCCCAAATATAAGGTCTTACTTACATCAAATTGAATATAGTAAAAAAAAAGAGGGTTACTCAGAATTTGAGGACTTTTCCAAAACATTGCGTCGCATTATGAATTTACCGCCCAGGCAACCTGGCTGGCAATAAACAATTTCTTCTCAATTGTGTTAACGATGTAAAAAGCATTTTTGCTGTCTTGGTAAAGTATATATGGTAATGTCCTGGACCAGGTGTAAAATATGTATCTTCTTTACATTCTACATTAATAGTAAGCTCAGATGTAAGCATAAAATGCGACAATGGCGTCCGCTATCTGTCCAATAATGAATTTCCATGACGTCGTTTTTTTTTTCTCCTACTACGCCCTTAGACATGCGATTTTCCGCTTAAAACATGTCGGGTGCCCAAATGACATGCCTTTTTAACCGACTCGTTGAATTCGGTTTTCGTTTCAAAATTATTTTGCCTTTCAATTAACATACCAATTCAGCAAAACCATTGTAAAGGAAATTCTACATTGCATTTAATTACAATATAAATTATTGTGGATGGCAAAACAGTCAAATGATTTTCAGGGTTCTCTCACTATTTTAGTTGTGATTTTGTAATACAGGCTTTGTTTATTTCATCTACTCATGGCATGTCGCTACGTAAACCTTTCCTTCAACGTGCGTCGATCGATTTCTAAAGAGCAAACACTGCTTTAGTTAAACTCAAATATCCCTGCCAGCGCCCTAAGTTTCACTCTGTGTCATATCATCCTCTGTTGTGAATTGATGTAGAAACCTTCATGAACGTGTTCTAAAACCAGCAAAGGGAAAATAAAGCTAGGACTTCCAACTTGTCCAAATTGAGTATGCCAAGAAAAATCGGGCAATTGACACTTTGTATCCCAGCATCTTGAAACTGTCTCCTTTTGTGAAGTAACGCGAATGCTAATAAATTTCTCTGTTTATTATCTTACAATAATCTTCGATAATCTAGAAAACTATCCATCTTCCTGCGATGTATCAAGTGAACGTCCATGAACGTACCGTAATGTTTAACCTCTATATCAAAAGCATTCAGATAACATGATGTCTTATGATGTGGAACGGTAGTACAGTATGGCCTACAGTTTTTTAGCTTGGTCATGAAAAATTACAAAATTTCTATTCAGACAAGGAGAGGATATCGTATAAGACAAACTTAAAAGAAATCTTACCTTATATTTTGTAAGTTGTCTGTTGTGAAGTCAGTAGGGAAGCCACAATGACTAAATTTTGAACTCCTTTTGCACGACCACAGCGAATGCAAATAACAGCCTTGGTTACTAATGATCATGACAATTTTTTTTTGGAATTCTAATTATAATGGTAACAGAAAGGTCCGGTGGCGGTTAATTAATGCATCACTCTTTGAATTACACACAGGAGAGTTAGATTACCATAGCGCCGGTGGTGTGTTTTACTCACTTATACAGTGTAACCTGCATTAAGCGGACAGTAGCCGAGGTC